GTGCATGTGTGTGCACACGTGTGCACACCGGTCTCTGTGCATCCACACACGGAGCCAGTACACGAGCATCCATCCTGGGGCTGTGCAAGCCGCATCCCTAACCCCCCCAAACCTCCTGCTTCCCTCTTGGAATGGCAGCGGTGCCATGTCCCTATGGACACCCAACAACCCCAGAGCGGGCGGACAGATGAGCTCCAGAGATCCTGCCAACACTAACGGTGCTTTGGGACCAGCTGGGAGCCTTTGGGACCAGCTTGGAGGCTTTGGGACCAGTTGAGGGCTTTGGGACCAGTCTGAGGGGCTTTGGGACCAGTTGAGGGCACTGGGACCAGTTGAGGGCTTTGGGACCAGCCTGAGGGGCTCTGGGACCAGTTGAGGGCTTTGGGACCAGTTGAGGGCATTGGAACCAGCCCTATCCCCTTGGTGCAGCAGAAAGAAGAGCCCCCACCCCAGCCAGGCCATTCTGGCTGGGTCTCAGTGCTGTCCCCATGGTGTCCTCACCCCCCTGCTCCTCTGGGGAGGTGTGATGCTCTATGTGAGTACCTTTGCATGTTCCCTCCTCCAGGCCAGCATAAAGAGCTGGGCTCAAGGCTGTGGAGCTTGAGGGTTTAGAAACCACCTTGAGGCCTTTGGGGACCAGCACTGGAGGCTTTGGGACCCGGTCGGGGGCCTTGGGACGAGCTCTCCCCGTTGCTGCAGCTGGAAGAGCTCCCCCACCATGGGCTGCCCTCGCCCCACTGCTCCCCTGGAGGGAGCTGCTCTCTGTGGGTGCATTTGCATGCTCCCTCCTCCTCCTCCTCCTCCTCCTCCTCCTCCCAGCGCAGAGCTGGGCTCAGGGCTCCGGAGCGATGGGGACGTGGCCCCGTGGTCCCCGTTCCCGCATCACGGTCCTCATGGTCCTCACGCTCCTCGTGCTGGCAGGCAGGGGACGGAAGCGGGGCTGGGAGGGCTCCATGGATACCCCAGCGCTTGTGACCCCCATTCCTCTGCAAGCCCCCTCTCTCAGTGACCCCCATTGAGGCAGCAGTGGGGGAGAGGGGATGAGCTGGGGGCAGAGAACGTGGGGCTTCGGTCCTGAAGGTCTTTTCCAGCCCGGTTCTATGGTTCCAGGTCGGGAACAGGGCTCTCCCGTGTGAAGGAGAGCGATGATTCCTCTTTGGAGCTGCTCCCTTGTAGCTGATGGGGAAGTGATGAAGGGCACAGCTCAGCGGCCCCTCCTCGGCATAAACCAACCCCACAGAGGTTTAGTGCTGGCATAAATCAGCGCTGGGTATGGGTACGGTATAAATGGTGCCTGCTGGGGCTGGGGCTGGGGCTGGGGGCTCCTTCTTCTGCTCCATGGATGCTCCGGTTCAGCCAAGGCACCACTGGCAAAGGGGAGATGGAGTTTGGAGGTGATGGATCCTGGTGGATCGCGATGGATCTCCCCTGAGCGCGTCCATAAGGAGCAAGAGGGAGGCTGGAGGGTTCCAAGTCCTTGGGTGCTGCGTGGGATCAGGGTTTGCACCTGCAGCCATGGGGGCACCTGGGATACACTCAATGGATGCAGTGAGCATCCCACACCCATCCCCATCCCACAGCCCCCAAAGGGGATCCCAGCTCCCGGGGGCAGCAGATCCCCTGAACAGGGGGGTCCGTGGGGGGATGAACCCCAACATTGCTGCTGCTGTGGGTCGGTGGCCCCAGCGCAGCCCCCCCTGCTCTCACCTTCCTCTCTGCAACCCAAAGCAGCTCCGAGGCGAGCAGGATGAGAGCAGGGCGCAGGGTGGGCTGTGGCTTCGGTCTGCCTGTCCATCCCCCCCACCCCGGGCAGGCTGAGCCCCATCCTCAGTGCTAAACCAGGGGGGATGCACCCCAAGTGCCCCCCACAGCCCCCAGTGGGGGTCCCTGTCCCCACTGGAACCTGTGGGGCCATTTCCCAAAGGTTTAAGCCCAACCGTGCCCCTGTTTGAGCCCTGTGATGGGGGAAACATCCCCATCCTCCCTGGGAAGCTCTGTCACCAGGCGCAGTGTGGGGGACACAGGGACAACGTGGGGTGATGCTGGGGGGCACCGGAGCACCCAATGTGGTACCCGGCTGCGGGGATGCTGAGCACAGGCGATGGGGACTGAGTGGATCACGATGCTCATGGGCACTGCTGGGGGCTGTGCACAGGACAAGGGGGGTTCTGGGGATCTCCATCCTCCACATGATCCCAACCCCATCCAGGCCAAGCTCTGCCCAATGAAGGGTGTCCGGGGGAGTGATGCCAGTGCCGGTGCCCCCCAGGCCCCCTTCATCCTCTTCAATAAAGGCAGGTGAAGGCAACTGGGGATGCATTGATGGGGGTGCCCCGGGGGTTCTGCAGCTGGGTGGGGGGGTCTGGGTGATGGGGGGTGGACACGTGTGGGTGTCAAAGCGGCCCCCCCAGACCACGGCCCCCCTGGCCAGGTCCCCCCATGGAGCCCCATCCCTGTACAGCCTGGCCCCGCACAGCTGGATCCACACACAGCTGGATCCTGTTACATTCATACACCTGCACAGCTGGATCCGGATGCAGTCATACACCTACACAACTGGATCCCTGCACAGCTGGATCCTGATACAGTCATACACCTGCACAGCTGGATCCCGATACAGTCATACACTTGCACAGCTGGATCCCGATACAGTCATACACCTACACAACTGGATCCTGATGCAGTCATACACCTACACAGCTGGATCCCTGCACAGCTGGATCCTGATACAGTTGTACACCTGCACAACTGGATCTCTATATAGCTGCATCCCCATGCAGGAACATCCCTGCATGGATGGATCCCAGTCAAGTGGGGCCCCTGCACAGCTGGACCCTCATATAGCAGGATCCCTGCACATCTGCATCCCTGTATACCATGATCCCCGCACATCTGGATCCCTGACTACCAGAATCCCCGCACATCTGGATCCCTATATACCAGGATCCCTGGACATCTGGATCCCTGCACATCTGGATCTCTATATACCAGGATCCCCACACATCTGCACGTCTATATGCCAGGATCCCTGTGCATCTGGATCCCTACATACCAGGATCCCTGGACATCTGGACGCCTACATACCGGAATTCCTGCACATCTGCATCCCTATAAACCAGATTCCCTACACATCTGGATACCTGTACATCTTCATCCCTATATAACATGATATTTGCACATCTGGATCCCTGCATCCCTACATAGCAGGATCTCTGCACATCTGGATCCCTGCACATCTGCATCCGTACATAACAGGATCTCTGCCCATCTGGATGCCTGCGCATCTGGATCCCTACATACCAGAGTCCCCGTACATCTGGATCCCTGCACATCTGCATCCCTATATACCATGATCCCTGCACATCTGGATCCCCGCACATCTGGTTCCCTACATACCAGAAATCCTGCACATCTGCATCCCTGCACACCTGCATCCCTATATAACATGATCCCTGCACATCTGGATCCCTGCACATCTGCATCCCTACATACCAGAATCCTCGCACATCTGGTTCCCTACATACCATGATCCCTGCACATCTGGATCCCGCACATCTGGTTCCCTACATACCAGAATCCCTGCACATCTGCATCCTTGCACATCTGCATCCCTATATACCATGATCCCTGCACATCTGGATCCCTGCACATCTGGTTCCCTACATAGCAGAGTCCCTGCACATCTGCATCCCTCACATCTGCATCCCTACATACCATGATCCCTGCACATCTGGGTCCCCGCACATCTGGCTCCCTACATACCAGACTCCCTGCACATCTGCATCCCTATATAACATGATCCCCGCACATCTGCATCCCTCACATCTGGTTCCCTACATACCATGATCCCTGCACATCTGCGTCCCTGCCTGGCTCGATCCCCGCACAGGGGCCCCGGCCCCGCGCTCCCTCCGCGTTCCGCCGGGGTTTGTCCCTCTCCTCCTCCCGTCGCGGGGCGCGGGCGGCTCCGTACGTGCGCGCTCCCGCCGGGGGGGTGGGGGGTGTGGGGGCGGGGCCTGTGCCGGAAGCGGAAGTGCGCGCGCGCGCGCGTGCCCGGAAGCGTGTGGGCGGCGGCGGCGGCGGTTCCGGTTCCGGTGGCCGTGCGGGGGAGGCGGCGGCGGCGGCGGCAGCAGCGAGGCGAGAGCGCGCGCACCCCCCCCCCCCCATCGGCACCGCACCGGGGACCGCACCGAGCCCCTCCCCCCCCCCGAACCCCTCCGGACCCGGTCCCGGCCCCGGCCCCGCCCGCAGGTGGGTCCCGCACCGCCCCCCCCCCCCCGGCCCGGGGTCGGTCCCGCCGCGGCACCGGGCACCGGTTGCCCGGGAGGCCTTGGGGGGGGAGGGCGGGGGGGCGCCGTTACCGGAGGAGGGGGGGGAAGGGAGGGGGAGGCCGCGGTGCTGCGGGTGGAGGCCCGGGGTGGGGGGGGAACGGGGAGGTCTCGGTTACCGGCTCGGCTCGGGAGGGACCCCCCGGTAACCGGTCCTTCTGGAGGGGCCCGGTGCGGGCGAGCGGTCCCGGGGGTGCTGGCGGTGACGGGAGGCGGCGGCGGGGCCGTGCTGCTCCGCCCGGGGCAGGGGCGGGCGCGGCGGGCAGGCCGGGGCAGGCCGGCGCAGGGGGCGGCGGGGCTGTAACGGGAGCCCGGCAGCGCGGGCCCGGCCGCCGCGGCGGCGCCGGGGCTCCTCCCGCCGCCATTTACATGCTTTGAACGTTCAAGGAGGAGCCGGGTCCGAGCCCCGGGGGGGGGGGGGGGATCCCGCACCCGCCGCGATCCCATCGGGATCCGGTTTTCCCGTTGTTTTCGGGGGGGGGAGCAGCCGGTTCCTCGCCCCGCGGCCGCTGGAAGCGATTGGAATCAGATGTGCTGGCTGGGAAGGGGGCCGGGAGCCGGGATTTCCCCCCCTCTCCCCCTTCCCATCCCATTCCCCTTCCCCTCCCTGGTCCGTGGCGTGTGTATTTTGGCAGCGGAACCCGTCTGGTAACAGGAGACCGAGTGTGTTTGGCTTGTGCGTCTGTCTGCCGGCCCCACGTCCCGCTCCCTGGCTGGGCTTAAACCCCGGTGGGAAGCCGGTTGGGAATGCTGAGGGTCAGGGAGAGCCCAGGGAAGAGGCTGGAGGTGACGAAATTCCATGGCTGTGGCTGATGCCGCTTTCCTTGTGTTCCGCAGTCAGCAGGAGGGAGAAAATGAAAGCGGGCTGCAGCATTGTGGATAAGCCAGAAGGAGGAGGAGGTAAGGAAGTGTAAAGGCTGAGTTGTTCCAGCCCTGATGGGAATCCTTTTCCCGGGATAAAGCAGCTCAGGAGGGATTAATTCCACCTCTCCCAAAAGCTCCCGGCCGTGGGCAAAAGCCGCTCAGACGTCGGCGAGGTTTGAGGAGAGCCGGGTTGGAAATGCAAATGAATCTTCCCGGAGGTGTTTTAGTCGTGAGGCTTTGGGATGGGGAAGGTGGAGCCCCCCCGGAATGCTGCGGCTCGTGCCTGCTTTTGCCTCCGTCGCAGCTTGCCAGAGGGCTGGTGGGTGGCGTTGGAGCACGATGCGACTTCTGCCACGCTGCCGGAGCCTGGGATTGTGGCTACGAGGAGTTGTAAAGAGAGGAAAGAAGGGAAAGGGGGGTGGGGGGTGGGGAAAATCCCTACCCCGATCCTGGCGTTAGTCCTTGTGCTGGGAAACTCCTCTGGGAACGCCGGACTTGGCAGCCGCTCACAAACATCTGCCGGCGCGGTGCAGTCTGGAGCAGGCTGGAATCGGGGGAGCTGGAGCTGCTGGGATCTGTCTGCCCTCGCCCCCCTGTGTGCCAAAAGCCCAAATCGGGATCCTTTGCAGTATTCCAGCCACCTGGAGTTTAAATTGGAGCTTCTGGGCTCCTTTTGGCTGCTTCCCTTTTGGTTTTATCGTTTGTTGGCGGTGTTGGGGGATTCTCTGAGGAGAGGAGGCTGGAAGGAGTTGGGAAATGAGCAGCTCGAGTAGGAGAGCTGGGTTTTTCTGCTTCCACACTGGTTATTTAATGGAATTGAAATGGAATTCCAGCCCCAGTGCTGCTCTGTGGTCTCCCCCTGGAGGGAACCCGATGAATCCATGGTGGGAGCCGCCGGTGCTGTCTCACTGGGTTTCTTGTTCTGTGTTTCGGTCCTTGCCAAGGTTATCATTTCCCAGAGTGGGCTTACAAGACCGAGTCCAGCCCCGGCTCCCGGCAGATCCAGCTCTGGCATTTCATCCTGGAGCTGCTGCAGAAGGAGGAATTCCGCCACGTCATCGCCTGGCAGCAGGGCGAGTACGGGGAGTTCGTCATCAAGGACCCTGACGAGGTGGCCCGGCTCTGGGGGCGCAGGAAATGCAAACCCCAGATGAACTACGACAAACTGAGCCGGGCGCTGAGGTGAGCAGCGGCTTCCCGAGCCCTGGAAGCGGTCCAGGATGAGGCTTGGAGCAACCTGGGCTGTGGAAGGAGCCCGTGGCTTTAGATGAGCTTTAAGGTCCCTTCCAACCCATTCCATAGGGCTGCACCATGCTCTCCCTCCATCCTCGCTTGGACAACTGACTGTAGCTCTTGCATCCCTTGTGGTTCTGGGAGGTTTGCATCCCGTTTTGGGGATGGGATGGATGCCTCGTGCTTGGTGTAGGATCAGAGGAGCAGAGTTCACCGCATCACCTCCTGCGGGTGCTGTGGATCCACACCCTGGTTTCGGGTTGTCATCACCTGGATGCTTTCCTTCCGGGAAGCTTTTCCCTTTTCTCTGCTTCCCTGGCAATGGGGGTGTGGGAGGAGGCCCGAGGTGTTGCTCCACTCTCACACCATCAAGGGGACTGCTCAGAGGAAGCAATTCCCCTTTCCAACATCCTTGGTACTCACCTCTTTGCCACTAAACCTGTGTGAGGCAGAGGCATTCCCGAGGCTAGGGCTTGGAATGGGTGTTTCCCAAGCCCAGGTGACAGGACACCCCGCCAGTGTCCCCTTGTGTGAGCGTTCCTCACTTCACACTCCAAAGCCTCCAGTGCAGCTTCACCCTCTTTCCTTCAGCCCCTTCCATAGCGATGTTTGGTTTCCCCACTCTGATGTGAAGACAGTGGAAAACTATCCCCAGCTCCTGAAGTATCCCAGGATTTTGAGGCTGGGCTCCTGACAACTCCGGGCATTATCAGTCCATGACATGGACTTCGCTGCCTTACGCCCTCTGATACCTCCTGGGTGGAGCTGCCAAAGACAAACAAGGCAGCAAACACAAGACTCGGGTTCTGGAACAGGAAGGAAACAATAAATTGAACAGCACCGAGGCCGTAATTGGTGCTGGGGGTGGAAAACAGGCTCCAGCTTCCAGCCCTCCTCGTGTCCCGGCATCCCGGTGCTGAGGGTGGCAGCAGGGGCAGGTCTCCGCTTGGAGCTGGCCCTGCCGTGCTTGGTGGCACTGTGGCAACAGGCCCCGTGTGGACCTGAGCCTCCTAAACCCAGGATGATCCCTGTGTAACACCTTTGTTTGGATACCAGGAGGAGGAGGCTGAGGACAAACAGTGGTGCTGTAAGTGGGGAGGAGGCTGTGGTGGGGATTACACCCGCTGCCTCCGAGTTCCGGAGGGGAGGAAGGGAGCTGGTGATCCCAGAGCCTCCCATAGCCTGCCCTCTGCAGCCCGGCGCTGCCTGTGAAGGCCATGGAATGTTTGTAATCCAAAGGGTGAGCAGAAGGGAGCAGTGTCAGGATACCCTGAGCTTTGATGGCACACATGAGCCCCGAACCTGAGGCTGGCGGGGTAATTTGGTCCCTTTCACTCAGCTCCTGAGTTTTGTTGCAGCCCAGCTTGGGTGCATGTTCTCCTCTTCCAGGTTCGGAGTCTGAGCACAGCTTCCCCTGATTTCCCCTTCCTGCTCTGTACCCCAGAGCATTCCTTGGCATCCACAGGGCTGGGGGACCCTTACACAAGTGGAAACGAGGAGGTAGCACCAGTGGGGTGCTTGTAGAGACCCCGCAGCCCATGGCTCCGGTCCTGATTTGGACAGGGGTGAGGACATGTCCAGGCTTGGCCTGTTCAGCTTTCACCTCTCCTGAGGATTTCACTCTCCCCACGTGTTCTATGGAACACGATGCCTGGTGAGGTGGTTTGAAGGCTCCTGCTGAAGAATGTGTTGTGCAGGAGTGGGTGGTGGCTGGAAAATTCCCACTCGACTGATGTTGCCTTGGATTAATACCATCAAATTTGGGGATATCAGAGGAGGATGTTGATGGCCCCGAAAGAAGCAAGACCTATAACCAGATCACCGCTTTGATTGCTCCCTTTAACTCTCCTTCACAGATACTATTACAACAAGAGGATTCTCCACAAGACAAAGGGCAAAAGGTTCACCTACAAGTTCAACTTCAACAAGCTGGTGATGCCCAACTACCCCTTCATTAACATTCGGCCTAATGGTGAGTGGGGGGGGCGCCGGGGCTGATCCCCATCAGTCATCTCCTGGGCTTGGAAGCCCGCTGGAGCAATCAGTGTGGTTGTGGTGGGCACGGCTGGCCCTTGATAAAGCCTTATCTGGAGCACTCTTTCCCTTGGCGTTGTTACAGATGGAGCTGTGGTCATCTTTGGGGGCGATTTGGAGGCATTTGGGTGTCCTCTTGGAGCTTTATGGGTGCCAGGGGCTTGCTTTGCTTTGGTGGAGGGTGGGTGTCCTTGGGATAAGAGGGGTTTAGCCCTGTGGCAGGGCCCTGGCCTCTCTCACATGCTTGCAACCCAAGTTTATGGTGCCATATAAATGTGACCCTTCTCGACAAGGAGCTTAGAGGTGCACGGGGAGGGAGCACTATCAGCGAGTTCAGAGCTTACAGCAGTTTGCTCTCCTCCCTGCTTCTGCAGAGCTTGCTTGCTTCAGTTCTGCTCCTTTGCAAGCCAAAGGCACTTCTCTTTCCCACCTTCCCAGCTGGAGCTAACAGGGACGCAGTAGCCAGCACAGAGCAGAGCAGGGACTCGCCCGGGGTTGACTGAAATCACAGGTATTCCTGGCTGCTCCCTGCGGCACAGCAGGGCAGGAGAGCGAAAACGTCTTTGGGAATGGAGCATAATTGTTCCCTTCTCCTCCTGAAAGGCCTTTGAGGCTCTTGCCAGGAGCAGGAGCTCACTCTGGCTTTGTCCCCAGGTCAGCAGTGCTGCTGTGCTGTGTCTGGAAGAGGGTCCTTTGTTTGCAAGACCCTTTTTCATAGAATCACGGGATCAGGGAATGGTTTGGGTTGGAATGGAGCTTAAAGATCATTCACTTCCAACCCATGCCACAGGCAGGGACCCCTGCCACTAGAGCAGGGTGTTCCAAGCCCCTGTGTCCAACCTGGCCTTGAACACTGCCAGGGATGGGGCAGCCACAGCTTCTCCCTACAACCCATTCCAGTTCCCCAGCACCCTCCCAGGGAAGAGCTTCTGCCTAAGAGCTCATCTCAGTCTCCCCTTGAGCAGGTTAAAGCCATTCCCCTTGGCCTGTCCCTTCAGACCCGTGTCCAGACCCCCTCCCCAGGTTTCCTGGAGGCTCCTCGATGGAGCTGAGCCCCTCCATAGCTGGATTTGTACAGCTGGGGTGATCTGTGGCCACCTCACATCCAGAGACATCAGTGGCCGTTGGCTCCATCCAAAAGAGCCCCTTCTGGAGCTCACCACAAGGCCCAAGACAACCTCTCTCTCCCCAGCAAAGCAGAGGCACCTGAACCCTCTTGTGCCTGGTTCTCACCTCCAGAGCAGTGCCCCAGGGCATGCCTTGAAGCTCCGTCTCGCAGGGAGAGCAAAGGGGAAAGTGGGGACTGAAAGTCGCCTCCGAAACCCCGCAGCTGAGCAGAGCAGGTTACGTGTGGGCAAGAGCTTCTCTCCTCCCCGTGCTCGTGCGGCTCCTGCCTCCCACCCACCGTGCTCTTGGCACTTGGAGCTCCCCACGGCCCTCCCCTCAGCCCTGGGGAGTCCCTGCAGGACCGGTGCTTTCAAGGCATTGTCTCCTAAGCAGACACCAACCCTAAACGCAGGGCTTGGGAGAAGAGAAACACTCATCGAGGCGTTGTGCTTCACCTTCGTGGCAGCGGGGAGAAGGAAATGTGCTTGCCAGGAGGCCTCAGCCAAAGCACGGGGGTGTAAAGATGTAGTACGAAGCTGAGCTGCAGATCTATAATTACTTGCAGCAACGAGTCTGGGCAGTTCCAGCTCAATATTGCTCAGTGCTGTTCCTTTTCCCTGTTTGCAGCCACTCCCTCCTATCTCTGGGGCATGCATTTAAAAAAAGAAGTTTGGAGAACTGGAATGCACTTGTCTAATTACAACCTGTTTTCTTCCCTTCTGGCTGGGCATGGGGGCTGGGATAACAAACCTGTTTTTGGGGCACTGCAGTCGAGTTTCTGCTCTCGCCTCTGCTTTGGAAGGGAGAGGAGAAGCAGCGGGCGAGCCGGGGAGGTGAGAAGTTTGCCTTGACGTGGCTTGTTGTGGCACGAGCGCGCTGGAGCTGGGCTGGGGGAAGAGGAGCCAGCGAGAGCTGGCAGCAGCGGTGGCAGGAAGAGCTCCCCAGCAAAGCCTAAATCAGGGACTTTGAGTCAGCCCCGAGCGCTTGAGGTCTCCCACATTGCTCCAGGGCGCCGCTGCCGCCCGGTGCTGGGGACTTTGGTGGCACCGGAGGGTCGCACACCCTCAGCCGGGGCGGACCGGAGCCGGTTCCCCTCAGCAGTGGCGCGGTTCTGAGGTGGGCAGAGGAGGCTGGAGCAGTGCAGGGCAGGGAGCAGCTGGGAAAGGCACCTCCCAGCCCCTTCTCAGCTGCCTCGTTGATGGTGTTTGTGTGTTACCCTTCCAACCGCCTGCGGGTGCAGCCCGCAAAGCAGCTCCTCAGCTGGGGCTTAACTCCCTCCTCGCCCTTAACTCTTTCCCTTGCTCTCTCCTTGCCCTTCCCTGTCGCAGGCGTCGTGCCGCAGAGCGCTCCTCCTGTCCCCACGGCCTCATCCCGCTTCCACTTCCCCCCGCTCGACAGCCACTCTCCCACCGACGATGCCCAACCCAGCCGCTTCTCCGGGGGCTCCTTGGTCCCGTCCAACCCCGAAGTGCTGGGGGACGGCGGCGAGAGGAAGCCGGACCTGCCGGAGCTGGAGGACGGCTCCTCGGATTGGCGCCGCGGGGTGGATCTCATGGGCTCCCGCAACGCCGTGGGCGCCGGGAGCGTCAACCACCAGAAGCGCAAGCCCGACATCATGCTCCCGCTCTTCACCAGGCCCGGGATCTATCCGGATCCTCACAGCCCCTTCGCCGTGTCCCCTCTGCCGGGGCGCGGGGGGGTCCTCAACGTTCCCATCTCTCCGGCGTTATCCCTCACTCCCACGCTGTTCTCCTACAGCCCTTCTCCGGGGCTCAGCCCCTTCACAGGTAGCAGCTGCTTCTCTTTCAACCCCGAGGAGATGAAACACTACCTGCACTCCCAGGCCTGCTCCGTCTTCAACTACCACCTGAGCCCGCGGACTTTCCCCCGCTACCCGCTCATGGTGCCACCACTACAGTGCCAAATGCCCCTGGAGGAGCAGCCCCAGTTCCCCATCAAGCTGCAGCCTCCCCCCGTGGGGCGCAAAAACAGAGAGAGACTGGAAAGTGCCGAGGAGCCGCAGGTCCCTCCTGCTCCCCCCAGGGTCAAGGTGGAGCCGGCGATGGACAAGGAGGCAGAGCCTGAGGAACCACCGGCGAAGGGCAAAGACAAGAGCGACAGAGAGGAGGGCCCCAGCGCGCCGGAAGAGGAGAAGGGCCCCGTCTTTGCCAGGCCGGCAGCCCCATCGTGGCACCCGGCCCCGCCGCCCCCCGCCGCGGCCGACGAGCCCCCGGAGCAAGGCGAGAGCAGCGCGGAGAAGCCCCCGCGCGAGGCCGGCGGCGAGGCGGGCGCGCAGGAGAAGCGGGAGGATGCCCTGATGCCCCCAAAGCTGCGTCTCAAGCGCCGCTGGAACGGGGACCGCCAGGAGGGCCCCGAGGAGCGCCACAACGGCCGCGTGCACTGGACCGGGGCGCTGGGCACCCCGCAGCTCGGTGCTGCCGCCGCCGCCACCGCCTCCGACACCTAAAGCGGAGCCGAGCGCTGGAACCGGCCGTGTATTTATGTAGCAAGGTTGCAGAGCGCGGGGGGCGGGCGGGGGGGGCTGGGGCTACGCCTGGTTTGGGTCATTCTAGAACCTGGGATGGGGAGTGGGGGGGGGGGGGTGTCTTTGTTTTCCTTGTTGGACTGCAGGTGAGACGCGGTTCATGGCTCGCTCCGAGCGGGAGAGGCGAGGGAAGCCGGGTGCCCGCGGGCACGAGCTTCGGACCTTGCATGAACTCCAGCGGGGCTGAGGCCTCCGCCAGGCTGGAGGAGCTCCAGCCACGGTCTCTTTTCTCTGTGCTCTGGTATTTATGGAAGCAGGAATCTCCAGATTCATCTTATTCCCTTTTTATATCCGTATCTATATCCCTATATATGCCCGGAGCCGGGTGCGATGGTGGGAGAGGATTCCTGCCCGCTCCAGACGTGCCGTGCGCCAGCCTCGGAAGCCAGCTGTGGTTTTGGGGAAGGGGATTAGGGAATATTGCACCGGCTGCGGAGCGGGGAAGCTGGGGGAAAGACAGGAGTGGGAAAGTCGCTGCTGGAAAAGGAGCTGCGTTCCCGACCCGCGGATCTCGGGATGCAGGCGCCGTCCTTTTCGCCTTTCTGGAATACTGCAGAAGCCATGAGGAAAATGTTAACAGAACATAATCTTTCAGGGAAGGGAATGGGGTGGGAAAAAGGAATAACCTAATGCCTTTAATATACGCATTAACATGTATCCTAGGGTTTTTTGTTTTTCCCCCTAATTGTATGGGTGGAGTTGGGAGATTAACGCTGGAATGATTGCGGTGAGTTCATGGAGAAGGAATGACAGGAGCTTTGTTAACTCTTATTCCCTTTGTTTGGTTCCCCATATCACTTTGACTCATGCCTTAACTACGCTTTCTGCGAGCAGGGTCTATGGACAGGAGCCGGATGCGTTTGGCCGAGGCCGGGATTTGGGATTGGAGCAAGGGAGAGCGCGGTGCGCGCCGGAGCCGAGCCCGTGCCCACGGTGTAAATCTCGCTGTATTTTTGCTATAAACCTGCTATTTCCCTACGCAGCTTTCCTTAGGCTCAGTAACTGGAGCACCGGCTGCCACCCAGACCTGCGCTTGTCTCCATGAATCCCAAAGGATTCCTTGAAAGGAGCTTGGGAAGAGCCGATGTCCGCAGGGTTAGAGCCGCACGCAGCCGGTTATTCACCCGGTCGTAGGCGAGCGGCCTGTGCGGGCAGATCCCCCCTGCCCAGGACTTGGGAATTCTTGGAGGAGGAAGCTCGTGCGAGCGCGGGATGAGTTGGAAACGCTCTTGGATGGGGCCGTTTGAGCCCTCAGTGCAGCCAGACGCCGGTTGCGGTACCCGGAGCGGGAGCGTTATCCCGGCGAGCTCCGCATCCCCCTTCCGGCACCTGGATTTATCTCCTGGAGAGGAGGAAAAAGAGGGGGAAGGAGCCCCTCGCTCCGGCCCTGGAGAAGGGGCTCAGGGAGTGAACTCAGGAATATGAAAACACGAGGCCTTTCCCATCAGTTAATGCACATCGTCGTCCCCCCCACACCCCCCGGTGCCCAAGCACCGGAGCCGCTCGGGGAGGAGCCGATCCCAAAATATTCCATAAGAAACCCACCGAAAGGAATTCAGTTGAACTGTTGTTTGGCTTTAAAGAGTTTGTAATCGGTTTGGGGAGGGGGGGGGCTTTGGGGAGGGGGGGAGCTTTGGGGTTGTGGGGGGGGGTTGTTCTCTTCATAGCCATTGCACTGCAAACCGGGAGCTCCGCGTTCAGGGATACAGGACTCAGGTTCTCAGGACAATGGACCAGTGATGGGCTCTGCTTTGACGGGGTGGGGGGGCACCCAACCCACCCCTGCCCATGGTCCCCGCCGGCTCAGGGTGCTCCCGAGCGGACTTGGCCTTGCCGGGGTGGGGGGGTGCTGAGAAATGGAGGTGAAATTGAGAACGGAAGCGTTTTCTTTCTCTTATTCCGATGTGCCAAAAGATTCCAAGCGGTCCCCGCGCGGGGTCGGGATCTCCACGTCCACCTGTAGGAATGACTCCAGAGCATGTTCCTGTTTAAACCATTTCTGCTTTGTTTAGCCCTAGAGAAGCTGTAGGATAACAAAAAACAGAGACTTGGAATGGGACAAGGAGCCGGACGCCGAGATTTCATGGATGGGGGGGGAATTAAGGATCAACGGGAGCCGCCATGGCTGAACTTAATGAAGCTCCAATGAGCCCCGAAGCGGGGCCACCGCTGCTGGACCCCCCGGATCCAGAGGAGGAGGAGGAGGAGGAAGAGCCCCTCTGCGGAAGCATTAACCCAGCGCGGCTCCCCCGGTGCTCCCTTGTCCCTGCCTTTATTTATTCCATAATTCTGGTTTATTTTGGGGGTTTCCAGTCATTTTCTGTTGTTGTTGTTGCTCTTTCTGTTGTGTCTTTGGGATCCTGGCTTGGGCTCCAGCCCAACATTAATAATAATGGATTTATTTCTCTTTGGGGTTGAAAATAATCAGAATTGTTTAAAGACTTCAAACTTATGATTTACTTTGGGGGGAGGGGGCGGGGGGGAGGGGTTTTAGAGTGTTTTTAAGGAGAAACTATTCATAAATAGAACATTTTGGGGGGGGTCGATGGGGTTTGGTTGGGTTCAGTCCCTTCTCCTGATGCTTTGGCTGGGATGCGCAGGGATGAGCGGACGGGGCCGCGGAGCCAGCGCGGGTCTCTCTGTACAAACCAGTGTAAAGTTGTCCCCATCCCCTCCGTTGTGCAGTGCCTTTGGACGTTCCACTTTCTAGAAAGTCTTCAAAACAAGTCAAAACCACACAAAGTTGGCATCTATATATTATATATATATGATGTAATGTTAGAGAAATATATGTATAATATACATATTTTTTTCCAGGGGTATCCGATAGCTCTGTATTTTGTTATGGAAGTTGAAAGAGAAAATACACAAAGTATTTTACCTCAAATTAAAAAGTTAAATAAAACCTTTTAACTAAGCAGCGCTGGCTTTGGTGTCTGAGCGGATCGGGATGTGCTTGGGTGGGATTTGGGGGAGCAGCCCCTGAGCTCTGGTTCCTGCATCCCGAACCTCTGGTCCCATCGGCTGGTGGGGAGGGAGGGATGGACCAACCCGTGTCCTGTCTCCCTGGGGCGACTCGGTGGGGAGGGATGGAGCCATATCCCAGTGCCTGGGGATGGAGGGATGGACCAACCCATGTCCTGTCTTCCTGGGCCGACTCGGTGGGGATGGTTGGACGGATGGATGGATGGATGGATGGATGGATGGATGGATGGATGGATGGATGGATGGATGATGGATGGAGGGATGGAGGGAGGGACGGATGGAGGGACGGATGGAGGGATGGATGGATGGATAAATGGATGATGGATGGATGATGGATGGAGGGATGGATGGATGGATGGATGGATGGATGGATGGATGGATGGATGGATGGAGGGATGGATGGAGAGATGGATGGATGGATGGATGAATGGATGATGGATGGATGGATGGATGGAGTGATGGATGTATGGATGAATGGATGATGGATGGAGGGATGGAGGGATAATGGATGGATGGATGGATGGATGGATGGATGGATGGATGGATGGATGGATGGATAATGGATTGATGATGGATGGATGATGGATGGATGGATGGATGGATGGATGGATGGATGGATGGATGGATGGATGGATGGATGGATGGATGGATGGATGGAGGGAGGGAGGGAGGGATGGAGGGAGGGAGGGAGGGAGGGAGGGATGGAGAGATGGATGGATGGATGGATGGATGGAGGGAGGGAGGGATGATGGATGGATGATGGATGGATGGATGGATGGATGGATGGACGGATGGATGGATGGATGATGGATGGAGGGATGGATGGATGAATGGATGATGGATGGATGGATGGATGGATGGATGGATGGATGGAGGGATGGATGGATGAATGGATGATGGATGGATGATGGATGGATGGATGGATGGATGGATGGATGGATGGATGGATGGATGGGTGGATGGATGGAGGGACGGATGGAGGGATGGATGGATGGAGGGATGGACAGATGAACGGATGCATGAAAAACCAGAGCATTCCCAGTGCCCTAAAGCTTGGCTGAGCAGGCCGGGGGCTGCGCTCTTGTAAAGCTGTGTTTAAACTGAGCTCAACCAAACCCAGCTTCAATCCCTGCTGCCAGCAGCGCCCTTCCTATGGGAGTGCTCTGGTGGGATGGGGGGGGACATTCCCTGGACCTACTGGTGTGTGTGGGGAGAATCCTCTGGGACTTTCCAAAGTCTTTGCAGGGAGGGCTCAGCGGGATGCAGGATGCTCGCTCAGGCCTGTGGGATCCCCCCCAGAGCAGCAAGACCCACGGGAGCTTCCCCACACCCTCTGCACCCCCATAGGTCTCCCTATTCCCAAACTGATCCCAGGGGGTCTCTGCTCCCAGTGGGAATGTGTCCAGAGCACCAGGAGCCCGTTGCTGTTGGAACCACCTGGATGCACCGGAGCAGTAAAAGCCCAAAGCTCTTTCATCCCGTCCCAGCCTCCTCTTCACAGCAATTAAACCACCTCCAGCCCCATTCCTGCCCCAGGTGCTGTTAATCCTCCCTTGGCTCCCAAAAGGCACCTCTGGGAGGCAGCGGGAGCTGAGCCGCCCTATCCCGAACCCCAGGGCCTGATCCTGCCCGGCACCGCATCGGCTGCATCCCAAAAGGAGCCTGGAGGGGTTGCGCTTCCATCCCCTCTCATGGGACCTGGAAGAGGCTTTGGGAACTGGAGGGGGCCCTCGTCCTGCTCCCGGCGCTGTCCCCGGCACTGTTCCTGCCTCCTCTCCCCCTTTCCTTCTCCTCCTCTTGCTCCTTTATCACCTCCCTCCGATCCCACCTCCCCTGTTCCTCACCCCTCATCCCCAGACGAGCCCGCTCCGCTCACCCCATCCCTCCTCCTTCCCTTTCCATCCCATTCCTCCCCTATCCTTTGATCCCTTTCCCAGCTCTGGCTGCTCCCTCTACCCCAGCCATGGCTCCCCTCCCGCTCCCACCCACCCACCTCCTCCTTGCGCTCCCATTCCCCCCCACCCCATCCCGCAGTGCGCTGCAGGGATTGATCCCCCATTAGCGCCTCCATCCCATGGGAAGCGGGGGGGGGCCCTCGGGGGTTCCCCCCCTTCCCCCCCCCCGGTGCCGGCTCCGTCGCCCTCGCTCCCGGCGCGTTCAAGCCCGGGCAGGGCCGGACCCAGGCGGGGAGCGCCCAGGAGCGGGCTCCGGGCCCGGCCGCGCCCCGCGGAGCCGCAGTCGAGGCCCCCGCAGCCGGGAGCGCTCCTGGGCCCCGCCCGGGACCGGCGCTGCCGGGAGCGGCTGAACCCGGCCCGGGGCTGGGAGGGGAGAGACGGGAGGGCAGGGAGCGTCTGGGGGGGGGGCATAGGGACCGGGGGGGGGGTACGTACAGACAGGGATGGGTACAGACAGACCGGGGGGGGCTCCATACAGACCGGGGGGGGATCCATACAGACATGGGGGGGGATCCATACAGACCGGGATGGGTACAGACAGACCGGGGGGGGCTCCATACAGACCGGGGGGGGATCCATACAGACCGGGATGGGTACAGACAGACATGGGGGGGGGCTCCAAACAGACCGGGGGGGGATCCATACAGACCGGGATGGGTACAGACAAACATGGGGGGGGTACATACAGACCGGGATGCGTACATACAGACTTGGGGGAGCTCTATACAGACCGGGGGGGGGATCCCTACAGACCGGGATGGGTACAGACAGACATGGGGGGGGTACATACAGACATGGGGGGGGATCCATACAGACCGGGATGGGTACAGACAGACCGGGGGGGGGGGGGCTCCATGCAGACCGGGATGGGTACAGACAGACCTGGGGGAGCTCTATACAGACCCGAGGGGCTCCATACAGACCTACAGACCGGGGGGGGGGGGGGGGGGGGGGCTCTATACAGACCCGGGATGGATCCATACAGACCTGGGGAGCTCCATACAGACCGGGGGGGCTCTATACAGACCCGGGATGGATCCATACAGACCCTGGGGCTCTATACAGACCGGGGGGGGGGGGGGTTCTATACAGACCAGGGTGCTCTATACAGACCTGGGGAGCTCCATACAGACCCGGGGGGGGCTCTATACAGACCCGGGATGGATCCATACAGACCCTGGGGTTCCATACAGACCGGGGGGGGGCTCCATACAGACCCGGAAGGCTCTATACAGACCCAGGATGGGTCTATAGAGACCCGGGGGGGGCTATACAGACCCTGGAGGTCTCTATACAGACCGAGGGGGCCTCATACACACCCGGGATGTATCCATACAGACGCGGGAGGGTTCTATACAGATCCGGAATGGATCCATACAGACCTGGGGGTCTCTATACAGACCCGGGGGGCTCCATACACACCCGGGATGAATCCATACAGACCTGGGGGGCTCTATACAGACCCGGGGGGCTCCATACACACCCGGGATGAATCCATACAGACCCGGGGGGCTCCATACACACCCGGGATGGATCCATACAGACCTGGGGGGCTCTATACAGACCCGGGATGGATCCATACAGACCGGGGGGGGCTCTATACAGACCCGGGGGGCTCCATACACACCC